AAAAGAAAAGAAAAGAAAAGAAAAGAAAAGAAAAGAAAAGAAAAGAAAAGAAAAGAAAAGAAAAGAAGAATGTGATTGATTTCTTGCTTAAAAGCTTGGCAGTGTACCAAGATCCTTGGAGAACCACAGTTTGGGCTGCCAGTTTTCTGGGGTTTGTGACCATCGTTCAGGAGATGTTTTATCAGATGGTTTGCAATTTTAACCCAGACGGCTCCAAGTATGATGACAATGCAGTTTATAAATAATAGCAGAAAAATGGTGCTGTTATCCCTCACCTCTTCTCACACAGTCACAACCCTTTTCGGAGCAATGTGCAGCATTCTGCTGGGGTGGCTGTGTCTGCAAATCTTACAAAGATAAAGCGACTTCATGAGCAACCCCTGGTTTTGCCCCCAGAACCTGGTTGTGTTTAATGAGAGCTCATGTTGCTGCACCACTACTAATCACTGCCACAAAGAAGGCAGTTCTTTCAGCATTGGGGAACGAAGAGCCATGTGAGCAAAATGCAAACAAGGAGGAACCCCAGCAGGTTGTTTGCTCTTCACAATTCAGTGCTCAGAGGCAATAGGTAAAGTTGCCACGTTCCAGTGGTTCAAAGAACAAAGCACAAAATGGTACTGTGAAAGAAGTTTCTGGAATGAATGCAGCATGTTAAAATATAACATGAGGTTCACCTGTATGGAAAAGGCTTGTTTCATCTCCTTGTGTTTGTTTTTTTCTTCTTTTCTGAATGGTTTTGTTGCCTGAAATCACTGGTGTTGTATCGGGGGCTCTTTCTCTATTCTGTGCTGCATTGATTTTGGCTTCCCTCTCTGAGATGAGTCAGTAAAGTTTGAAGTATGCCAACGTGAAGATCTCCCAGTGTAAATAGGCTGAAGAATGGAAAGTTTCTACTGACTGGAAAGGTTTCCTTTCTTGGATAATGAGCCACAACAGTCCAACTCACCGCTGGAAAGTAGTTAAATGCAGAAGATTTTTATGTGTGAACTAGTAAAAGTTTAAAGATATTAAAAACATTTCCCTCTAGTGGCTTTGTGCCAGTGGGAAAAATGTTTAGTAAATACTATAATCTGAAATTTATAACTTCAATGATTCAGGCTGCAAGCATGTTTGGGTTTTTTGTTGTTGTTATTTTTTTTTTTTTCCAAGTTATGTTTTAAAGTACCAGAAGTATCTATTGAACTCTGGTCTCTGGGCAGCCCTAACTGCAGGTTTTTTCCAGTTTTATACCAGTAATTGGAGACTGTGGGGTGAAATTGGATCAAAACGAATAAAGTAGAAATGATTCATGGTCTTTGTCTCTATGGTAGGAGAGAAAACTGCTAGAAGTGGAAGCTGTAAACAATTGTGGAGAGGAGAGGAACATTTTACAACATGGCCATTTTTCTGCCCTTCCCACTGGCATGTGTGGGGTGTTCCTAGGTTTTAGGTGAGGTATGGTAAAGAATTTTCATGCAGGAAACCCATGCAGCTTACAAACTGATTGCACTTAGAGATTTACAGGGGGGGCAAATCCTCTTCAACGTGTAAGTTTTCATAAAAATTAAGCATGTTTTCTTCATTACCTGTGAGGACCTCTGCAGATTTCTTTGGCAAACTCAGTGTTTCTATCAGAGCATTTCTGGGAAGGCAGTATTTTGCATGTTAAAGACACTGAAACAGCTGCTAAAAGTAGCATATAACCAGTAAATTAAAGTACATCAGTGGGAGGTAGATAGTAATTTGAACATGTTAGCTTGTCTTATCTCTGTACATAATTGTGTGTATTTAAAAAAAAAAAAAAAAAAAAAGTGGGTGAAGAGGAGGGGAAAATCCCAGAGGTATTTAGCCTGGTGTTAGCTTTTGCACTCTAAGTAGTTTTGTGAATATATAATATATTATAACAGCATTTCACCATAATTTATATAGTGACACGGACCCAATACATTTGGAATCTTTATTTTTTTTCTTTGTCTTATTATTACTGAAATTGATATGTGGAAAAAATATTTTGTATTTATCCTTGATCAGTTACTTAATGATTATGTTATTCCAGCTGCAGAGAATATTTATGTGGTATTGGATTTATTGCATATGTTTTGTTTTTTACACTACTCTTTTCCTTATTAAATTATAAATGTCACCTGGTTACTCTTTGTTTGCAGTGGAAACAAAAGCAATTCATGTGCTAGAAAGTATTACAGGAACTATTACATAGTTGAGTTGCAACTGGTAGAGTAAGCTCATCTTCTGATATTTCCTATCCTAAACATCACCTCCCTCAACTTTGTATGAATACTGCTAAAACACGTAGGGTGAAATTTCTTTCTTCCTACACACAGGCCTGGTTGTCATTTATGCTTTGGTAGGACTGCTCATATGCTTGAAAATCCAGCCCAAATCAATGTCAGAACCACATGAACGCATATGGCTTGGAGCTGTGCATGCAAGCCTGTGCATATTCCTAGGTCTTTGAATATGATAGGCAGTCGCTTTTCCTCTGATTTGTGTTAATTCCTCGTCGGCCATGGTCCACCTCAGAAGGGAAGATGGATGCTGAGATCCTGGGGTGGATGATGAGCAGGGACCGGGTCTCAGAACAGCATCACTCTTCAATGCTTGTAATGCATCAGTCATTTCAAGTCAGCCAGCAAAGCCATTCCTCTTGGCAAGAATTCTCAAGCTTGCAGCATTAGATTTTATAATGAGTAGAAAACATAAGGCCAGTCTTTTTTCTCCCATCATTTTATTCACTTATCAATATGAGCAAATGTGGTGAGTATGCCAGCTATGTGGGTAGAACAGTTTATAAATACAACAGTAATAATTGCTGCCTAATTGGATCTTTCTTTCATTGTTGCCCATTTTATAAATATCCTAGACTCTGGAAGGAGTAGATGTTATTTGGCAATTTTTAATTTTTTTTTATATTTGAGGGGAAAAAAGTTCATTAATAATTGAGAAACATGTTTTTGTTCTGCTAGACCACTGCTACACTTTCTCTTACAATTTGGTCTAGCAGTGAGGATTAGCCATGGAGTCCTGCTCTGGAAGGGTTCTGCTTGTCCATTATTAACCTTGCCAAACAGAACAGACAGTACCCACACAACAGGAATATATTGTGAAAAATACTAGAAAACAAACATGTTACTAATTAGTACCTCCCATTAGTTTTCCCTTTTTCTTCTTTGCTGGGCCACAGGAAATTAGTTCCTCAGTGATGGGCTTCCTTCTCTTTCCATGTCCCTCGTAGGCAATGGGCAGCTGGAGCTGGGAGGGTGCTAGTGAGATGTCATGGGACTTGAGCCTTGAAGAGAAAGCATCACTAATTGGCTGTGAGCTAAAAAAGGTCACCTGTACCTTCCCAAAGGACAGAAGAGGCAACTCCTGTTGAAGATTCAAAGCATTTCAGTTTTCCAGCTGAATCTCCATATAGATTTGCCACTCCATTAATAGTCAGCGTGTAGTAGAAAAGAAATTTAGTTAAAGATATTTTTTGAGTCTTGTATCTTAAAATATGTTAAAATAATCAGTTATTATAATGGTGGTTTGTGAAAGGAGTTATGCATTTATTCCTAATGCTTTACATATTTGAATGGTGTATGAAAGATACTAATTTTAATGATAAATGTATGAATATCTCATTTTCTTTCAGCGAGCGTTAAATAGGAAAAAAATAACTGCATCTGAATTCAGCAATAAGGAAAGCTCCGAATCGAGCACTGAGCATGATAAAGAAAATTCCTTTATCAAAAGCGAACCAAGAAGGGTGAAAATCTTTGATGGAGGGCAAGTATTGTACTTCACATATTAGATATTGCTGGGAAGATATTTTATCTTGATTTTAGACCTTGCAGAGACGTTGCTTCCTGTTAGATTTATTTTAAACAACAGTTCCCATTCTGTGCTCTGTGAAAGTTGGTTTATGCTTCTGTGAAAAATGGAAATTCATCAGAAGCATGGAGCCATGAGAGTTGGGAGAAAGTAATGAAATAGAGAACAATAGGCAGCATGATTCATTTTTTTCCAAAGGGCAAACATTAATCAGCAGTAAAGGCAGCTAGATACAGCCATAGATGTAAATTCTTTTCCTGTATTTCTCTTCTGTGATAAATAATGTGTATTCTACAGTAAGCTAGTGTAATTGTAGCCAGAGAGGACACAGTCCAGGGCTCAGCAACAGACTGCAGTTCCCTTGCTGTCTGGCAGTTTGCTGGGGTATATACCAGCTGCAGAAGCCCTGATTTGAAAAGTGCCATGGAAATATTTACTGAGTCTTAGTCCACGCACTGCAATAGTTTTAAATCAGTTGCCTGATCTGAATAACAGTTGTTTTAGCTTTAGCCACAATGTTGTGCCGTGTACAGCGTCTTATAAAACAGGATTTATAGTAGAAGAATGTGCCAATAACACTTGTAAAAGTTCGGGCACAAATGGTGCATATTTTATTGTTCTAGTAATTGGTAACAGTCTATAGGGCTTTGCATTTACAGGTTTATAGTTTGAGCCCAGTCCTGGCCAGCAAGTAGGCTATTGCCAGCCACTCTGGTAGAGCATCACTATGTGCCTCTGCACAGCCCCAAATGTTACAGGGAACACGTTGCAAAAGCTAAACATTTGGCATCCTTGAGCAAAGAGATGAATGCTGGGATTCCATCAGGGACTTTTTCCATCAAGAGACAGTCCCTGTAAGCTGAGCATGAAGCGCATTAACAGAGTTTTTGAAAGACTTTCCCACTGTCATAACTGATGTTGTTCCTTCTCTGTATCCATCGTGAAGCCTCAAAGATGCTCCTTTAAAGCTCTCTCGTGGTCCTCAAACTTATTTCCAAGAGCTGACTCTTTAAAGTATGATTCTGTGTTGTGAAGATAAAATTTGAAATCTTGAAATGGTTAGTCTCAAATGGTACCTTTATTTTAAAAGATACACCATCGATTCTTAGCATGTTCATGATTGTAAGTTTAACAAATACATGCACAGGTTGTTTTTATGTTTTTTATAGCTTTTTCAAATTTGATAGATTATGGTTTCTAACTATATATTTTTTCCCCCTACTACAATTGCCTTATTCTTATGGTGCTGCTACTAGGTACAAATCAAATGAAGACTATGTGTATGTCCGGGGGAGAGGAAGAGGGAAATATATCTGTGAAGAATGTGGAATACGTTGCAAGAAACCCAGTATGCTGAAGAAGCACATTCGCACGCATACAGATGTCCGTCCTTACCATTGCAATTACTGCAACTTCTCCTTCAAAACTAAAGGTAGAAGCACTTCTTTGTGTACATTTTTTCCCTCTTTTCCTTCTGTATTAAAGCACAGTTCTCAAATCTGGCTGCCCACGTGCTAAAGAAGTTACCTTGCTGTGGAGTTTTATTGTCTAATGTTTTCCAGTGTCTGCAGTCCCTTCTGTCTGCTTGTTCAGATAATCATGTATTTATATGAACAAACTGTGGCATCTCATCTAGGTTAGAAACTGAAATGGAAAAGGAAAATATGGGAGTATGGTGAAAGCTAGGTCTCATCCTAAGCAAAGATAGAACACAGTTTTAAGTCCCCACTGATTATTTGGACATATGACATGGGCATATTTTGTGCTGCTCTTAGCACTCAACAAATTACTGTATTAAAATGGTTTTTAGACCCTGGAAGAATGGAGTTCATTTTCCTCCTTAGTCTTCTAACCCAAAGATGGTGTTTAAAGTCTGTTTACAACTTTACATCCAAATTTAAATATGTATATTAAACAATGGTAGATCCAGGACTTGTAATAAGTAAGTAGAAGAGCTAGGGTATGTTCACAGTCAAAAGACATTTAGTGAAAAGTTCTAAACAGTCACATTTTTTTCAGCTTTGAACATCATTCAGATATAATCTCCCCAGCTATAACCTCAGGAACATTTGTACTTACAGTGGGTTTGAGACTACTCAGCATTTAGGAGGAAAGCTTCACAGGACTGCAAAAAATAGGATTGATAGTCTTCAGATGTGTGATGAATTAACATTGCCTCCTTACACCTTAGGGCATCACGTTGCTTTGTTGCACCATCTTTAAAATTAAATTCTGGATTTAATATGGATTTAACCCAACAAATTCTGATGAGGATTTTTGCATGGTAGGCTTGCTGGCCCAATTCTGTTAATTAAGCTCTGCCCATTTAAAATTCTCTTATGCTTCAGGTGTAGAAGGTATTTGTATTTCCTTAATGTTCTGCAGTTGATAACCATGACTACTGCAACTGCTTACAGAGTTGGGCCTATGCCTGGATGCTTGAAGTTTGTTAAACTACCCCTCATGAAAAGCCAGTGTAGGCAATAATTTCACACAGCATGTAAGGCCAAGAATTTTGCTATTTGTGAGCCAATAGCAATACCACATAGCTTCATAACAATCATTTCAAAATTTGGAGTGAAATCCTAGTCTTCTTTCAAAGTAGGAATTAAATATTCCACAGCTATGGAAGCATTTCACCCACTATAATTTCTTCCATTTGAATACCTCAAGGAAACTGGATTTTGTAAGATAATGTTAAGTCTGAAATAGACTGTTACTTCTAATAATATACATAGATTGCCCTGAAAGTAATGCTTCCTGTTCATTTCCGTGGAAACTACAACAGATACAAAGAGCACGGTCACACTACTTGGTAGAGCAAATTCTCAGTTTTTCAACTAGTCATCACTATTAGCTATGTATTGTCACCAGTGACCAACAAGAGCCTGCACGCCACTCGTAATGATCTCTGTCACCACTGCTGAAACACGTCACCATTTCATTTCCATAAAGTTTCACCAAGCATTGAAGAATGTTGGTGGATGCCATTTCTTCCTCATGGAGGAATTCATTGACAGGCCTTTGCTTCACCTGCACTTCCATGTCAGTTGTCATGTTGTCAGGCTGCCCCTTGGCTGCCATCTGTCACGTGGCAGGAAATGTAATGGGATATCGGTGGGAATTCTGGTTCACATTCTACTGCTGTACCACCAATATCTGTCTGGGATGTTGTGGGCCAACAGAATAAAATAGGAGGCGTTACTTTTGGAGTGGCCCTTATATATATATCACATATTCATCATTTAAAACTGTGATCTACTTTTAACTTCTTCATGATGATATTTGCCATACTTTCTTTCTAGAGGAAGAGGGAATGGCAGCTCATGAAGCTTCCCAAGAGTTATGCATTCACTTTCGAAATTCAGAGCAAACATTTTCAGGCTCATGTTTTGAATAAAATTAATGTGTTTGTCTAAGTTGGCAGTGGAAATAATTGCACTGAAATAGAATCCATACAATATTAAAAAAATTGCAAGATATGAACTTTAGTTCCACATAGTCGTTTTCTGTCAATATTATTTTGAAGACTGGATCAGTCTTTCATATTTGCCAGAAACAAATGACTTTTTTACACATATGCAAAACGCATAATCTTCTGTGATTTCCATTTTATTCTATTTTATCTTGGTGAAGAGCTGAGTCAGAGGCTAGTAGCATTCAGGATGATGAACCTGCTGTAGCCCTTGTCAACTTACATTGAAGGGCAAGGCTGTGCCAGATGTGAAATCAAATTGTACATGTGGTTGTAAATGTAGCTGAATGAGATATGGACATGCTGTGTTTCTGTCACCATACATTTGTGTAGTCAAAGAGCAGTTCATTTTTGCTTTTATTTGTTTCTTAAGGAAATTTGACAAAACATATGAAGTCAAAGGCACATAGCAAGAAGTGCATGGATTTGGGAGTCTCAGTAGGCTTAATAGATGACCAGGATGGAGAAGAAGAATTTGGTAAGAATTTAAATCTTTTCTTTGCTGCATTATTAGATTTATTTTAATGTCACTCTTTATTACCCTTTTTTCCAAAGTTTTTAAATTAATGTACAGGAAAAAGATACAGGGAGGAAAATTTAAGACAGTAGTCAGAGGGAGCAAAAAATACTGGAAAAACCTTCACCAAAAGAAATGATGAGCATATGCTAAAGATATGTTGCTGCTGAATTTTTCACAAAGTGTTATGCAGTTTAACTTTATCAGTTTCACAGACAAATCTGAGAAGATTGAAAATACCAGAAAAACAGCTGTTTGGCTAGGAAAAAAATAGTAAGATGTAGGATTTTTTTAAAATAGCTTTGCATAAAATTGTCAAATTTTTGAATACATGTTTTGTAAATTGTATTACTGACTCACCACCCAGGACTATAAATATTTGCTGAGTGCTTTGCATAGGCTTTTCAGGGAGGCTGATGGTCTTCTGATGCAGAGTGCTGACCTTCTTCACAAATATGAATGGGCATAAATCAGTAAGTAGAAACAAAAGATTTTCATCTGGATCTGTTCTACTCATCCATTGATATTCTTAGTGTTATCAAAATTATTTGCTAATAATTGAAATTCTGTACGTCCTACATACCAAAACAGCTCCACTGAAATGGAGGTGAGGTTGAGGAGAGTTGAGGAAGGCCACGCTGGGTTCACATGGGTTTTGCTCAGCATGTTAAGAAATGTGTATCTGTAGCAGATGCCGTGAGATGCATGACAGGACTGTGTGCTTAGCACTCTTTGGGAGTCTTGACATGTCTCGGTGCAGCAGTGGCATTTTCTACAGGCTCCTGCTTTTCAGCAGCAGCGTGAGCTTTGCATTGTATTTTTCTTCTTGAAGTGGAATAGTTTATTAGATTGCGGATGAGGTTTTGAGAAAAGAAAGCGGTGGCGATCTTCATTTAAACAATAAAGAGCAAGAAAGATGAATGCACTTGCTCCCATATGACAACTGCTAGCAGAATAAGCGAATTGGCTTGAATCTAATTCTAAATAATTCTGGGAATATGACTCAACTGGTGTGATTCAGTAGTGCACTAGGTACCAAGAAATCTGCCTTTTCCTTTTTTAGCATTGTTAGATATATTCTTTTTTGGTAAGCTAAAAACATATCCTCCTTTGCAATTGAGGTACCAAAAAGAATAACACAGAAGATAAGCAACAGTAAACAGCTTGTGATCCTTCCTTCAAACACAAACAGTGTTCATTAACATTTTCAGCCTTCACATGACAGAAAAATTGTTGCGACTCCTGTAAGCACTGTTCTGTAGCTGTGTTTAATTTGGTTTTAAATAACAACAGGTCTATCTTTTTCCTAGGAAATGAAACCATTTTATTGATTGATAAGTTGATATTCCCAATTGACATAAGTTTGCAGTTTGGTAGAATGGTAAAATGCTCCAAATGTTAACAAATTATCAGTAATACCCTGTAGAAATAAGCCATTTCAAGCAAGTGGAAGATTGCTTTTCTTTGGCTCTAGGACTACATAACTGAAAGACAAAGAGTCCTTACATATAGTGTAATGGTTTTTTACAGGTGTGTGTAACTATCCTATAAAAAAAACTACATTCCCTGACATACAATTTTTGTTTCAGCGCAGTAATTAATAAGTTAGAATCTTTTGAGGAGAAATAAACAAAAGCCACAAAACAAGGCAAACAATTACTGGGGTTTGCCATGTAAATCCATGAAGGTCTTCCAGATATCGAATTGTAAGGCTGCAGTGCATTTTTTTTCAGAACAAAACAGGTAACACTTCCTTTTTTGTCTCTTGTTTTTAACTAAGAACTCAGAAACAAAAAACAATTTAGTGATAAAGTCCCTGTCTTCCCTACATGATCCGACTTGGATACCCACAGGAAAACCAGCTGTTCAGGACAAGGCTTGGCACTAAAAGTCCCATCCAAGAGGCAGGGTAATTAAGCTCATGGTAAACACATCTGCCCCAGCTGGACCATCCAGCCTCGCCAGTTACCACACAGTGCATTTGCAATTATCCATGGACATTCAGTGAGTAGTTCAACATTTAAAAAATATGATTGAATCTGTCACCTCACCCAGCCATGCTGGAGGGTGTTTCTCTGTGTAACTCAGATACTTGCTTGTTGGCCCATCTTTAAGGCAAAGAGGAGGGAAAAAAAGAAGTGTGAATTATTTCCATGTGAGCTTTGTAAATGTAGGTGGTTCTGCTGTGCTCTCTGAAATACTAAATTTTTGGCCACATTTGAATACAAGTGAGTGGGGGTTGTTTTGAGGCATGTAGGTAATCTTCTTGCATACAACACCTTTCACCATCCCTTGGTCCCCTTACCCAGGCAGCCCCATTCTGGCAGTAGGGCTGGCCTTGGGAAACGAGCTTGCCCTGGCAGCCAGAGTCAGCTGGGTCTGATGGCTTTTCCTAGTTGAAAGGCAACAGGAGATTATGTGGAGGAATGTCAGAAAATGTAATAGGAAATAATTCTGACCTCAGAAATCAAATTTCTTCTTTCCCATAAGCTGTGCAAGTTTGTCTGGTTTCCTGACCCACAGAATGTCTGTCTCTATTTTTTTTACCCAAATACTGATTATTCTCTGATGGCAATAGTAGTTTCTACAACTTTTCTTCAAATAAATAAGTTGTATTTCTTCTAGCAGATGTGTAATTAAAGAATTAATTTTGGAAAGTTGGCCATAAATGTAACAAAGCCACCGGCCTTTTATTTACTAAGGAATTCATCAGTTCTGCAAGTATTTTGTACGTTCTTTTTAAGCACAGGCTGTCATGATTGGAATATATCATTTTTCAGATAGATTGACATCAGAAGATAGCTTTGACCTGATTGTAATTCAGATCAATAACATCAGCATATTGAGTAAGGAGTGCAAAATAGTGCACGATCCTGAACACAGGCATGTAAACACAGAGCCTGCTTTTTCAGTAATTTGAGAAGCTGAAATTTTGTTGTGCTGTCACATCGAGGGAAAAATAAAGAGATGCTCTCTAGCTGTCTGAGAATATATGTGATCAGAGCTTTTAACATAGCATTCTTTGTGTTTGGACTTGTCATCATTTGGGTATTAGTAAATACTTTCTGGCCTGGGTTTTTGTATTCGAAACCATTCCCTCATCCATTTATCTTTCATCTTCTGCTCTGTGGAATGTTCTTGTCACCAGAATACAGGGTTACAATGTAAGGAATGTTAATATCTGAATTAAATTGTCAGGCGAGGTGAACTATTTAGTGTGACGGACTGCAACTGGGGATATCCTCTTCTGCCATGCTGACTGGACGTTTTGCTATTCAGTCTTAAAAACAACAATTTGTCTTCAAATTAAAATAGTTCTTAAGTTTGAAACCATTATGTTTCACATGTAAGCTAATATGAATGTGAAAAGTGAATGGTAGAGTATGTCTGAATGAATGTAAATAGTAGAGTTATTTAACAATGAAATCTATAGATGTGGAGAAGTTGTTTAAGTGGTCTCTGGGGAAAAAAAAAAAAAAAGTTATCTAGAAATAATCAGTACTTTACCTGTAAAAAAATCCTAATTTTAAGTTTTAGATGCGTATCATATATATATGCATACATATATTACATATATAAAACCACATATATATTTAAACTTTCATTTTCAGTATTAAATAGACCCTTCTAAAGACACAGTGTTTCGAAGTTAATTAGCTATACCTTACTTATCATAGCAGATTTTAAATTAGTTTCCATGGCTCTTCATTAACTTAATCATGACTCAGTCTGTGTTTGCACTGCACCTGCGTATAAGAAGTAAAAATAAATGGAAATTCTTACAGTGATATCCTCCTTTTGCAAGTAGAATGGAAGGCTGGGTCTATGTAACTCACGTGACTTTTTTTTTTTAATTTTTAATAGCACTGCCTTGTCTTCAACTAGATATACATTAAGTATGCTGGAGCCTTACACTTACAGCCTGTGAGTAGACTAACTAATGCTAAGGTGGCTTTACAATATATAGGATACCCAGGAGGACTTAGGGATAAATAATCTCTTTGAAGCAACAGAGGTTGCTCTTATTTTTTTAGTTTAGTTTTGCCTAGTTATTTTCCATACTCTTAGGAATGAAAGTCAGAAGCCCACTTTTTTTTTCTTCTCTCTTTTCTGAGAAGCAGTGGCTATTACCAGTCTGAATTTAACCCAGTAGATGTCACTGTGAGTCCTGTGTGGTGGTGATGAGCAGTGGACAGCAGCTGAAGCAAGACTGAAATCAGGCAATGAAAACCAATGAGCACAGTTGAAAAGTCAAGTAGATGGAGAACTTGGATGTGGGTGCTAATGTTGTTTCACCCAACAGTACTTCGTTTACCCTTACTTCTTTTTAAATTTGTTGGAATGGTTGTGAAACTGTCCACTATAAGACTAATACAATAGGCAGAAGGCAAGTCTGAGCTTGTATTTCTTTAGCAAAACAGAGTGTGTGTTGAGGACATACAGACCTTATTTTCAAGTTCACAATAATATGATGCCATACTCAAAATATTTCTGCCTTCATTGCCCTAGTGTATATGTATTTTATTACATCTGATGAAGAACATACATAGAAAGAGAACAAATGCATGAATTACTAGCTACTATATATGCTCATAGAGTATATAAATTTTGTATTAATCCCTAACTGAAGATAACTACACAATTTGATCTGGTAAGTCCTGCTTTGAATTACTCTGGTGCTAAAAGCCATCAAATTTAGTATAATCAATCATGGAAATAGCTAGTGGACAGACAAACGGATATGTAATAAGATATATCTTTAATCTGTATAAACAGAGCTAATAGTGATACCTATAATTAGTCTATATACTTGTTTCCATTTACATATATACTTGTAAAACTTAAGTAATCTGGACGTGTGTTTCCAGGTCTTCCTGGCAGTGAAAGAACAAGAATGCACATTTTATTTTCTTCAGAAAATCTACCTGATTATGATCAAGTTAAAAGCCATTGAACTTAATGTCATTGTAACTAGTGCAGAAATGGCTCGTCTGTAGGGCCTGATGAGTCGGGTCATGTGATGGACTAATATATGAATATCTCTATTAAAATTACAAGCTGTAAGTTTAGATTCTGAAGAACCAGTCTGATTGGTACTTTGTGGTATAGCAGTGACAAGATGACTGTTGGTAAAAGCATGTGCAATAACCATTACTGTAGGGAAAAAAAAGAACTTCAAATTGTATAGAGACCCCTGTATCAGTTACCTAATAGCATCACAGAAAAAGCAGTGCATGGACTTAAAAAGCAGTTTGCTAATGGACATGTTAGGATGCTGATAATTCCAACTAATGCTATCGTGCTAAAGAACTTCAACATTTTTCTTTCTTGCTTTGGGGTAAATATCAGTATAAAAGTGTTTTTGCAGACAGAAACAAAATACTGAGCTGGTTAACAAACTGAGGACTAAAGGCTAAAGAAATAAAGAAATAAGATTTCTGCCTATGATCTTCATGCATTTACACCACTGCACTGGATTAGAACACCAATTTTACTAAGTATAATTACAGTTGGAATGCTTGCAAAATCTCTGATCAAAAGTTGTCAGGCTTTCTAGTACAACTTTGTTTCCAGTAGTGCCTAATTTTTGCAGAGTTAATATCTGAAGCTAAAAGTACCAAATTCTCCTGTGAAGTCCTAGAAGAAGTCTTTCTAAAGGTTTTAAAGAAACCTTGCAGCTGACAGAGAATGGGAGACATTCCCTCTTTTTTCAAAAACATTCTTTATCAAAGATTGAGGCTGTCTTGAATGGCTTTTCTGTTTAAATGCTAAAATTTGAAAGAGAAGTAGCCTTCATAAAGCACAACAGCTTTTGGGTGTTTCTGAGACATGAGAATTACAGGTTGAGATCACATAGGGCTTTGGATATGCATTTTCAGTAATGTTTGCAAGCTCTCAAAGCAAAGGGTAGGAATGAGAGAAGTGCAGCACGGCCAGGAAAGTGTTTTGGGAGCCCCACTGGGAGCGTGCTTTGCTGATGGCAGCTGCTTCGTCCATGCTGAAGGGTATGTATAGAATGACTTGAAGAGGCTTTGGATCAGGCATGCATTGAAGGAAAGAAAAGCATTCTTCCTTATTAAGTGTTTTTCTGACCTTATTTTTTTTTCCTGTTTTTAATTATTGTTGCTGTTGCTGTTCGGTTTTGATTTTGTTTTTTTCAGAAAAATCAGGGACTTTTCACACCAAAAGCCATTTCCTCAAATGCCAGTGACCCTTGAATTCATGGCACATCCCACAACTTCATACAAAGTTGAACTGAGTTGTAGTTGTATATTTCAGCTACATAATCATACAGTTGTAATTGTGCATAGTTTAAGACAGGAAGCAAAGAATTATTTTTTTCCTAATTAAAACTTAAAAGCCTAATTTAAAAAAATTAAAGCCTAATTAAAACAAGGTAACTTGTAGGCAGAGTGGAATTATCAAAATGGAGCTGGGCCACCAGTCCTAGGTTAACAAGATGGTACTTAGGAAGAATCTTTCACCATGAGTGGTCACAGCCTTGGTACCACTTTCAAGTAGACCATGCCTGGTTTTGCCAGCTCCTTAAACTCCAGATTCAGGTCCTCTCACAACTCCACTGATGTACAGTGATGCTTAAAGGGATGACTGATTACAAAAGCTTGGGCACCTCTTGTTTCAGTGGATCCACACACAGGTTTAGAAGGCAGAGCAGTCCTTTTCACATTGCCAGAGCAAGCAAGTCGGGAATGCTTTGTTTTTCACATCTGATGTTTCAAAGCAGTGTGGGAGTAAGGGAGCTGTATTCACTGCTGTCACCTCGCCTACATTGCAGGCTCTGGCCCCAGGTAACCACTTTTAAATAGAAGCTGGCAAACTCATAAGGGGTGGAGGTAAACAGAGAAACAATAGAGGGAAATTATATCCCACAGAGCACTGCATTTAAGGAGTCTGTGTCCCACGCATAGTTCCCCTTCTCCCTTTCCATGTTTTCCTTCCAGAAGGCTTCTAGAATGCAGAAAACGCTCTGCACAAGCAGGGTTTTATAGTAAATCTTGTAGTGTTTCTAAATGCTGATTTGAAAATTAGGTTTCTTACTTTAAGTCGGGGCATGCTCGAGCATATATTTTGCCTGTTTTAAAAATGTGGTGTCAGTCTAATTGCTTCAAGTAGTTTCTTTTGCCAATGGAAACAGTCATTTGTGATGGCCGTCCAACTTGATCGAAAAGGTGATTCATTTAGAGAGAAGGAGAAAAAAAGAAAAGAAGCAGTACAGTTTCTCAGAGGAGATAGACGCGTGGTGTCAGTAAGGTACCCTACAAAGAGATCCAATAAAAACTACAGCACGAAACCCAAGACTTTGCAATGCCCCGTGCAGTATTTAAAAAGATGAAAGAAATGCACAGGTCACCCGTTAGATGTAAAACATGGAGCAGTTTGTGACATCTGTCACAGAGGCATTGAGGGAATTTATTTCCATTCAAAACTCAAACATATGTGAGCATTCTAACTTCATAGATTGTTTTGCTTTGCATATTAATTATTAAGAAGTATTGAATAGCAAGAAATGAGGAATGGAAATGACAGAAATGAAGACAAAATGCTGTTGAACAAATAATGCATTTTCTTCTTTGAATGATTTTGTAGATCACAGTTAAAAATGAAGACTGGATAAAATCCTAAACCATATTTTTGTTAGCATTATTCCAATGATCTGGAGGGTTTAACGTATTTTTTAATAACATTTTGGTTTCATGCCTGCTGTAGAAAATGTAGAAAATCTATATTTTCCATATTTAGTTAATGTACAAATTACTGTGTAGGCAAGAGAGGGGCAAAATCATTACAGAGGGATTTTTTCAAAGAAGCTATTAGTCTTGTTCCTAATTGCACTGCTCATTTGAAACCATAAAGGCTTATAATGGTAGGTAGCTTGTTGAGAGGTAGCTCAATTAAACCCATTTATTTTACCTACAGCTCAAGATGCTTATTTTCGTTTTGGTAACTTAGCAGCCTAATGTATTTGTAATGCATTCTACTTCTTGAAAAGGTTTCTTTTTTTCTTTTTTTTTCCCAGAGTCGTTCATTTTGATAGTAAGTTGCTGTGCAGATTTCCCCAGAACAGAATCTCTAAATTTTCAGCTAACCAGCCATCCCTGCTTTTGCAGAGCCAAATGATTTTTATGCTGATATTTTTCTGGGAGCTCAGCAGACAGACCTTTAATCAAGTATGAAATATTAGTGCATCCAAAGCATTTTGTCTTTTTATAAAATGTGATCCCAGACAGTCTGGCTTGGAATCAGATACAGCAGATGGGATTTTGTCTCTTCACTAAAGAAGATTTTTTTCTTTCCAAGTTGTGGTATAAAAGAAGGAGAAAAGCTGCAGTAGGGCTATATTACGTAGAAAAATTTACCGATAGACAGCACAAAGTATCTTTAAGAGTTGAAGTCAGGAAGGCTTCTTCTTAGGAGTAAAATTTCATGCATAAGTAAGTTTTTATAGGATTAGGGCTTTCTTGTCTCCTAGGACATCTCGGGTGACTTGCTCATAATTCTTTCAAAACGTGAACAAAGTGAGAAATCTGGTAAGGTCTAATTTGGTCTCTTTTGCCTGCTAACGAGACAGATTCCTGACTAACAGCCTCCAGTCTTTTCTGTTTGTATCTTTCAAAACCCTTTGCAGCAGTGATTCATATTGGGTACAAGGACACCCACTTATGAGTCAGAACCAGCTAGAGAGTATCCCACTGTGAAGGTTGGCAGACGAGCTTCGCATGTCGTCACTAGCAACTTAATGAAGCAGGAATCTGCTCACTTCTCCCCGAGCGAAAGAGCGAAGGGTGACTTTGAGCAAAAGGCTATAAATGGCTTAAAAGAACAACCAAACCCAGAAGGTGGAAAACAACAGGGAAACGAGAGATGAAAGATTATGTAACTGCATAACTTAATATGTATACTGGAAAACAAAAGTAAAAATCTTCCTTGTTGCTTTGATGACATGGGAAGAAGCTGAAAGATGCACATGGCATGCGTTTTTTTGGCGTTTCTAATCGCTCCCTCCCACCTCTTTCCTAATCAATCTGGAACCTTCATTGACTTAACTTCTGATTCTTGCTTTTGCAGGTGAGAAGCAAAGATTAGGCTGTGATCGGTCAGGGTTTGACGCGGAGGAATCTGATGGTGCAGATGAAGATGAAAATGACAATGAAGACGATGATGAAGACAGCCAAGCTGAGTCAGTCCTATCCACAACCCCTTCAGTGACAGCCAGCCCCCAGCATCACCCCTCTCGACACGGCCTGCAGGATGCCACAAGTGCTGATGAGGACAGCAGACTGCCGGACTGCTTTGGTGGGATTCACACGGACTCCATGGATGGTCTCCCAAAAGCACTGCTCACAAAGATGACTGTCCTTAGCGCAGCGCAGTCAGTTAGCAGGACCTCCAGGTCACCAGCAGAGTTTACCCACCAGGAAGAAAACGAAGACAAAGGCCAGGAGAGAGGAGCTGGTCCCCACAGTGCGGGTACTACACTGGTGGACTCTGCTCCTGCATCTCCAGGTCGCCATATGTCTGTGGATTACCCCGATCCAGAAACAACTGTGGCCCACTCCTCAGTAGCAACCACAATCCTTACAAAGGTAGGGGTCCAGTTCTGGGGGTGAGAGTGTTATTTAAAGATCGTGTTGGTGATTTTTCAGAGGCCTTGCCCTTCATTCTTAGAATTGTTGGCTCATGCTTTAGAAGAGTTGAAAATAGTTGAAGCACAAATGTGTAGGACTGCAGAGACAACAGTGTTGTAGTGGCACTACTTTTTAACTACAGCTGTAATTCTGTCTGCATCATTTCTGAAAGGATTAATTGTAATGTGGTCATTTCAGATGAAGTTTGGGGCTGGAATAATGTATTGCAAATGAGATTGGATATTACAGATATGTAGAGTGGACGTATGGCAGGGTCATGAAGTTTTCAGTGGAAAGTGATACAATTCAGAAGTCATTTTACTCTGAAATACAACGGTGGAATCATTGGTAACTCCCAAGAAAGACTAATGTAGTCCCAAAGGTTTTTGCCTTATTGCTGTAAAAAAAAATTGGGCAGTTGCTTATCTCTCCCCAAATATGTTTAGCAGTAAATTTAGAATGAGCACCATATGTTCAAGGAATCTAGGGATTGCCTCTGCAGAATAACAAAAGGAGATAGAAGCACAGATCTGAGACCTGAGTTTCCTCTGCTCCCAGTTTTTCTCCAAATGAAGGAGCATTTTGATAGGAAAAGGATCACTTTTGCCCATGCCTATTCTGGGCAGACAGACATGTGGAAAGATGAAGTCAGTCTATGTGCAAGACTGCAGTTGCGTTCAGTAACGTTTGCAACCAGTGCTTGTAAAGCAACAGGGGAGCCAGCAGGTGTTAAGCATTTTACAGTCCAGCAGTATTCTAATGGAGTTTAATGGGGACAGCATAAATCATATACTTCATTGACCCTAATGATATCTCTTGAAAGTTTTGAATTCTTACTGTGACCATGAGGGCAATAGGGCTTCCCAGAGTAATGCCCAGAAAAATATGATGCAAAATATTGCATAGTTTTAAGTAGGGTAGTAATTACCTCCCTCTCTGTGATGACTTCAGCATAGATGCATGCAGTTACAGAAAAATAAGCGGCAGGAAATTTTCAAAATCATAAACAGCGAGTAAAGATTTGATTATAGTTCAAGTACTTAGTGACTTGTTCTTTGAAAATCTCTACTACCGAATTTGTTTTTTAAAAGAGTTCAGATAATGAACTGTTGGCAAGGAAAACCAGTAAAAATTATTGCCGCATTTCATTGTTTGACGTACTGTCATTCCTGCTTGTAAGGACTGTGAGGGCCGTGTGGCAGGTATGAGTTGGAGCGATTTTGTAGTATGACAGGGAATAAGATGTAGTGGTCTCTGGTTGCTGCAGACATCTGTCACAAAAGGTAGGACCATAATATTTGTGTTGTGTGTTCAGTTGTTATCCAGAGATGCCAAGAAGACATTTGACTGATTTTACTCTCTTAATCAAACAGAACCACTGAAGGCTCAAGAAAATATTCACACAGATAAAATCATGAAAAGTTCTTAAATTTATATGTAACAGTTTTCCACATTAATATGAAAAAGGCATGTAAGTAATAAAAGGCAGTAATTCCATGCCAGACTGCCACCTCCTTTCCCAGTCAGATGAAGTGGTAGCTGTGGTTCTAGTGTTTAATGTGCAGTCTGTTCCCAGCGTGCATGTTTGTGGATCCAACTTCTTGCCATTGAGACAAGGGATCGAGAAAGTTTAGGAAGGCTGTATGTTCTTTCAAAAGTATCTGTAGCAGCTTATCAAGATTTCTAGTGAAATGTCAGACACCACTTAGTCCTGAGAAGGACTTTCACTTCCTTCTGACACACGTCTTCCCATTTAGAATAGATGACACTGCATGGTCAATAAATTCTATTCACCTTTAACCAGTACATTTCCTACTAGCTGTTTTCAGAAACATTTCTGTTAGTAATTTGTTTTTGTGCCTGCTCCAGGGATTTTTTGAGAATTTGGTCAAAGTCACTGAATTACAGTTTAGGACTCTGTAAATTAAATAAAGTTGTGCTGTTCTTTGTGTACTACAGACAGGCCTAAAATTAAAAATTAACTTCAACTGCAGTTTAAAACTTCTTGATTTAGGTGTTTTTAGGAAAGGAGTTGCCAGCCTTGGCCAGTAGTCGAGTCTATATGAGAAGAAAAGAGAGTATATAATACAGTTGTTTGTCCAGGTCTGTGTACCAAACCAAGGCAAGATGGGGCAGCTGTGGGATGTGGGTCTCACACCTCATTCCAGTGTCCATCCATCACCTCAGCCTCAGTGGGTGCTGCAGTTATTATCTTTCTCTTGTCACCCATTTTCTGGGCTAGGGTAATAAATGGACAAACGGTTGTGATGTTATCCCTGCCTTCCTGAGGCTGCAGTGCCTCTGGTAAGTGGATCTGGTGTATCAGAAGTGCCGGCTTATTTAACATTTTTGCCTGAGGTGATTTTCACAATAAACAGCTCTCCAAAGCTGCCTTCCTCCTTTAGAAAAAAACAGCCATGTACAGAGGATATTCAGCAGTGTTTTTGAGTACTAGTGCTCCAGAGAAACGAGCAAGGATAATCATGAGAGGAAAATTCAATTAGTGGGAGAGGAAGGAGTTGGAAAAGAAAGGAAGGAAATCAGTTCATTGTTCAAGCTGGGCAGCATTTACCGTGAACCAGTCTGTTGTTGTTTTCATCTAAAATGAAGTGTGAGAGGGTGGGCAGCATGCCAAGCAACCTCGAGATTCTACATAACCTGGGGGCGACAGCAGCCATCCTGTTAACACGTCCCTCTCTCTCGTTCTCTCCCAGAGCACGCCCTCTGCCAGCTCTCCCTCCTCACCCGCGGACCAGAGCCTGCGGACCACGACGGCATCGCCCTACACTGAAATCCAGGAGGAGAAGCTGCCCGGCGCCCCACTGCGCTCCGCCGAGTTGAGGCCAAGCCAGACGCACCTCTTCAGCCACCTTCCGCTGCATTCTCAGCAGCAGGCCAAGGCACCCTACAGCATGGTGCCAGTAGGGGGGCTTCAAGTGGTCCCTGCCGGCCTGGCCACCTACTCCACCTTTGTGCCCATTCAAGCGGGCCCGGTGCAACTCACCATTCCCGCCGTTGGCGTCATCCACAGAACTACGAGCGGCCTCGGCGAGGTGGGTTGCACCGCCTCGGGTGCCGCCACGAATCCCATCGGGGTTGCCGAAGTGAACAGCGTGGTGCCGTGTATTCCCATTGGCCAGATCAACGTGCCAGGCATCCAAGGTCTCAGCACGCCCAGCTTGCAGCCTCTCCCACCCCTCGGCATGGAGACGGTGAACATCTTAGGTCTGACAAACACGAACATAGCCCCACAGATGCGCCCGCCTGGAATCACTCTGAATGCCGTGGGCCTCCAGGTGCTGACTGCCAGCGCTGCCCCCCAGGGCAAGCCCAGCCCTCAGGCGCACATCCCGGGCTTGCAGATACTGAACATTGCCTTGCCCACCCTCATCCCCTCCATCAGCCCGGTCAGCGCGGATGGGCAAGGAGCCTCCGAACCACCAGCTTCAGGCAGCAAAGCTGGTGACGTCCAGCAAGAGCCAGCTCCTGCCAGCTTCCCTGACGTGGGCCACGTGGCCAGGGCTGCTTCTCCTCAGGTGGTTGCCGGCGGCCAGCGGTACAGCGTGAAGAGCCTTGCAGAGCCTGCCCCTGCGAGTGACTATGAAAGACTGGATGGGCCGGGGAAGGGTGATGCTGAAAAGACTGACCTCGCCGACCACAATAAGCCAAAGTGCGACGTCTCTTCGGTTCAGGTCAAAAGGGCTTCCCCGGTACAGCCCCGCTCAAAGGTGAATTCTGACGTTTTAACCAAGTCCCCGGTCCATCGAACTGTCTCTCCGGATAGACAGGTACACAGGCCAGCAGCATTGCCCCGGAGGCAAAATACGGTGCAGTTTAGTGATGGCAGCAGTGACGATGAGGATAGACTCATAATAGCAACCTAGTTTTTGTTTTCCATTGTGTTTATTTTTTTATAACACTTACAGGTTTCTTTGTAAACCTTCCTTTCCTTAAAGCACATTTTTCTGACACAAACCCATTACTAATCTTTGTGCAATCATGAACTCTTGACCAATAATTGTTGTTTCTTGTCAGCTCCAGCCATTTTTGTACATGTTGTATAGACGATTGTGCCTTTTTGGAGTTTTATGTTTAGAAACCTGTACAGATTGTTGAATATATATATATAAAATATATATATATAAAATATGTATATTAAACCCAGGTAGTTGCTTGTGTTTAGTAAGTAAACATCTTATGTCAGATAAATAAATGATTAAATTATATGTTGCACTGTTAAATGTAAATTTTTATGGCTGTGGGACAAAGTTTCTGTGTACAGATCTAGTATGTAAAACTCCATATTTATTGTATCCATATTAGTCTTGGAAAAGGGTCTGTCCATCTTTCTTGTGTAAGACGGTAGCTTTACACTTCAAAGAGAAATACAGTATCTGTGTTACGAAATATTACAGTAAAATTTTGTTTACTGACTTTATCATTGCTTACGTTGTACCTTCTTGATGCAGAGTTGGAGAAGTGCTCGACTCAGTCATTTTAGTGTCTTTCCAATTGCTTTCAGCTTAAAAGGATTTGGTGATGGCATATGCCCACGTGATTTCACCTGCTGTAAGAGAAAGGGTACCTTCTTTAGGCATTTGGAACAAAAGCTTCCACTGCAAAACATCTGGCGATGATGAAGCAGGGAGGGAGTCCCTCAAGATTTTTTTACAGTAAGCATCCAGCAGCCCAATTTTTTTCCTCTTCATACCTTAAATTTGAAAGCTTCCCTGAGGGAAGAGGGTCAAGATGACATATTTTTGTAATGTTGAACTATAAAGCCACTTTTTATTGAAATTAAAATATTGTTAAACAAGAAAGGAATAGTCCTATGTCTGTTTTTAATTGCAAAATCTGCCTAGCAGTTGGTAAAACGAGACAAAGTTAATTGTTCCCTAAATTTGACTTTGCCTTACTCATTCAGGATTTAAAAAAAAAAAAAGGAAACAGGTTTTACACATACAATTCATGTGCCCTTATATTGACAAACTCATGGGCATACAAGACATGGATGGATCCCAGAGTCCTGCAACTGAATAAAAATTGTGTTTGCACACAGTGAATACAGTTCAAGGGTGCTGTGAAAATTTTCGTGTGTTCAGCTACTTGAGGAAAGAAGCCTTGCATGCTTTAAGGAAATGCATTTGTGAAAGTTTCAAGCTGACCTGTGATCTTCAAAGAGCTGTTTTTTATGCTGTGCCCTTACATCACATTCTTGCAGTGATATAAAGTTTATAAAACTATTTTAACAAACTAATTCCAGTCAAAAACTGGAGGATGTCAATCAGAAGCAGGATTGCCTATAATAAAAATAACCAGGATGAGGGCTCACAAAGCAGCTGGAGGAAAAGGGTGGGAAGCAAAGCGTAAAAACATCAGGAGCAAAGCTGAATGAGAGCTGAGCTGTGTAGTTCACAGACCAACTCCTGCATCCAGCTCAGAGAAGTAAATCACACCTTGTAGTGCTCGTATTCAGGAACGGCAGTATTCAAGATCCCTTCTTAGCCTTTCTTCAGCTTCCGTACTGTGCTTGCGTTGTGCTCGTTACATTACTCCATGAAGGTGTGTTGTGAATCTGTAGGCGATGTTGAGCGAGCTTTATTAACTTTCAGAGCAGTTCAGAACCAGCAGATCATTTGTATTACTGTGATCATCTGCCAGTTTTACTAATCCAGCAATTAGAAACGCACATGCTAGAAATGAGAAATCGGATCAGACGTGAACGTTCGTCACATTTCTGATTGTGTGGAGCCTCCCCTGAGGGCTGAGCACCCAAACCATGAAGCACTCTCAACTCACATTGAAGTTAATGAGAGTTAAGAGTTCTCAGCACTCCGCAGCGTCGGACTTCAGAGTTGTGAGCGTCTTGTGTGCAGCCACGTGTAAAGTGTCACTGTGCTTTTGTATGTTCTTTTTATAAGCGTGTAGTGATGTCAGTGTGTCTTACTTACATCATTATCATTTATACCAAACGTGAAATTACCTCAACCAGCCCAAAACCATTGCTGCATTACATATGATTTGAGAGCCTTGCTACTGGAACCAGGGGAAGGTTTGTTGTTAATCAACCCTAGAAACTTTGCATTAGTTTTAACTTCTTCAGAGTGTGCATATACCAGAAAACTAGAACTGTGCTGATTAATTTGAGGCTATTTTCTTATAGCGTGACAAAAAGATGACTGGATCACACAGATTTACAGCAATGCAAGCCTATCACCAACATTTTGATAGCTATTGCAAGTATTAGTGTTTCTCTGAATTTTATCAGTAAGCATTAAGAAGTAGCTGTTCCACATGCCCTGAAGTCCTGATTCAACTAAACATTTAGAAACTCCAGAGATTTACCATAGACGTATCTTAAATAGTTATTTAACTTGCAATTTTTCTGTGCTCTTGTTCTGAGAATTAATACCAGGAAATACTGTACTGGCACAGAGAAGCAGTCACCAGTTTAACACAAAACTCATCCTGGTGAATCAGATTGTCTACATGTGTCTCTTTTCTGTTCCAGGTGTTTTGAAGACAACAAGGTCAAGAGATGGAAGTGGTATCTTGAAGAGTAGGAACGACTAGGCAACAGATAATGTCATAATGAGGAAAGTTAGGATGTCTGTCATTTGGTAAGTCGACAGCAGTAAAATAGAGGAAAAGGACCAATAGACAGCGAGCAGTCACCACACTTCACCCTATAAAGCAGATGAGGAAGTATTCATTTGAAGCAGGATCTCTGATATATCTGACTTTGTTCAAATGGAGTTGGGAGGACATCACACTTTTCTAGAAGTGGTATTTGCCACCCTGATGGCTGTACTGTTTTCCTTCTCTCTAAAATGTTTCAAAATGAGTTTTCGTTGAGGTACTTCTATAGCACTGGGCAAAGGGAAAAAAATCCTAGGAAAATGATCAGAGCAGAGAGAAGGTTACACTCCCTACCTCTCCTCTGTCAGTGCCTATCAGTTCCATTTTTATCATGCATGTAACCAATATCTATACTGTACACCTGCACACAGGTGTCCTGCATTTGCACAAACCTGCTAGCAATTATATTTTCAATCTGAATTAATTCTTTTTCTATTTTTAACTGCATTTTCTTCTTTCAAATCAATAGCAGTGCACTGCAGTAGTAGTGCACAATTGCACTCCCCTTGCCACAGGGATCCCTCTGTTTAAGTTAGTAGCAAACATCACAGAGATTTGCCAGTTCAGGATTAGGCACTGGCGGTCTTCGGATGGTGTAAATTATCACAGCTGAATTGGAGTAAATAGCATTGGGTTGTTTACTCAGGGATCAATTTTTAACGACTGTCAGATATCCGCTGGCAAATCCAGGACAGCTGTTCAAACATGAAAAGGCCAGGGTGAGTGCTTCTCTGTGCACCCAGGCACAGTCTGGCATCTTCACACAACCTATTCCCATCAACAGGGTGCAAACAGGTGCTGGCTAAAGACTGGGCACAAATACAGCTACAGTAAGGACATGACATGGTCAGCTTCTGTGAAAGACATGCAGATGCTTCCCTGTTAAGTGCCAGGAGCCCCCCCCTAGAAAAAGAATCGAGCGGTTGCCTGGAGCTCTCCTTTCAGCTTGGACTGCAATTGATTTCTCATTGCAGGACGTGGTGTTCGCTGGTAAGGTGGATATCAGATTTTGAAGACAGTTTGTTCTCTTGCAGTCCATGTGACAATATTGGTTTTAGGACTCTATTAAAATAATGTGACTGTATTCTGTATTTGGGGTTAATAAGCTACATCATAACCTACCTGTTCCTTCTTAGTACAAGACCTAGAACACCAGCAGCCACTACTGCTGTAGTCAGCTTGAGGCCTCTCTATCTGTAGCATTACAACCCCATGCCTGACAGAAGCATTTTGCATACACACAAATTGAAACACACATTGAATGTGCTTTATTTCAGACTGCATTCGTTGGCTGAACACAGCCTGGGTCACACAAAAACAAACATATACTTTAAAACAAAGACTTATTTTGCTTTACATTCAACTAAAAGTTCTGAATGGCTTCTTAATGTAGCAATAGCAGATCTATCTTGCCTTCAGTGTACTGACATGTACGTTAAACAGAACACAAAACGACTCTCATGATACTTTTTCCAGAAGCCCTCATTACTGCAAAATAATCCTCACCAACCTTTTATCAATACTTCAGTTTAAAACCATGAACAGCCCTTCAAAGATGCTCTTAGCATGGGGGTGGTTTCCTCAAAATCGAAACCTAAAAAGATCGGGTTTGGTGTGACTGGCTTGCCAAAAGCCAGGGAAACCAAGTAATCTACAATGAAGAGTGCTTGCTTGGGACAGCCTTCAGCTGATTCATCTGCAGGGCCCCTACTTCTGTTGCATGTGAAAGTTCGAGACATCCCCTAGCAGGGAATCCTTACCTTGCTGTCAAGCTTTGTAAGATGAACACCAGGTGTCGGCCATCATAGACTAAGTGTCATGGCCAGTCTGTAGTTGTGAATGTTAAATTAGGAATGTCTTAAAAAAGCATGTGGCTGGAATCGTCCTTCCACGCCTTGAGAAATTCTCCTTTGCCTAGTCTGGCTCTCCACACCTATGGATGGCCATCTTTAATGATATAGAAAATATTAGAGCCTTAGGTCACATAGAAACCATTAATGGCTTTTGTGTCGAGGGTCAGACCGCTGTCATAGACCTGCAATTGTTAGCATAGCACTGGATTGCTAACTCTATTCTTGGCTGAGGATAAAAACAGGCTACTCTAAAATACTTCAGATTGTTTATTAGATAATCTTAAGTGGAATGGCTGTGGGTGGATGAGCAAACAGCAACAAGGATGTAACAGCATGTAATTATTTGATTTGATGTTCGTGTTTTGTTCCAGAAATGCTGAATCATAAAAAAGCCTTATGGCAAACATGTTGCTGGCATTATGTTTGCCTGTCCGCTTCTCCCCTCCACACAGACAGGACACCTCCACGTGTTAGGAGATGAATGGTGATTTGCAGATACTCCATGTGAGAGCAAAGGAAACCATGCTAGCTGAAAGATGAGCAGGTTTCACATTCCTCAGGTTCTGTCATGGAAAGAAAACTTGCCCTAAGATCAGTAAATTAGCCAGGCATCCTTAGTTTTCTTTGGTAAGAGGAGGCTTGTTTTCCCTAAGAAGGTCAAATGTTAAGGCCTGTTTGGTTTTGTAGCTGTGTTCTCTTAGTGAATTTGAAATCCATTACCATGCACGAGGCATTGATGCTGGAAATAGGCCAGCTGAAGGCTGTTTGTGAGTTCCAGTATATCCACCATGTCCTCTTTTTGTTAAGTTAGGTGCTTAAAACATCCTCCTTGTGCTTTAGGAGTTCCACCCCTAAGCCAACTGCAGGCATTTGTGAGCAAGGTTCTTCAGTGTCAACACCAAATACCTCCTCCTGAAAAACAAAAACGAATTTAGCAGAGGTGCCAGTTGCATCCAATAGATAGCATCTCTCTTATTTTTATTAGAAGGATGTTCATGGCAGGGAGTGTTGCTGCTCACATCCACCCACCTGCCAGGAGCACAGGGCTGCCAGGCACCCTGCAGGCAGTGCTCCATGCTGAGGGTTGGGGATGACCAAGTCGCTGGGGTGCTTGGGCACAGGAGGGCAGCATCCTGTGTTTCAGTCCCGTTGGCCAATGGTAGGTGTGTCCCCAGTTTGGAAAAACAATCCAGAAATCAAAACAGAAGCAAATGTTGAAACAGAGGCTTTTTGCAATGTAGATATTGATGTTTTCTTTTGGACATCAGAGTTTGCTTTGCCAACAGATCCAGTGGGCGTTCAGAAACCATTTTTGACGCTTGGAGGTTTAAATCATGTTTCTTTGTTTATCCCCATCCTTATAATATCCTCTGACTCTCTCTTATTTACAGTGTTTCAGAGCAAGAGCTCCCACACCTAGTGCTGATGAATTCTGCTGGACTGGGTACCTGGCTTCACTGTGGATATCCTGTTCTCCTGTGAATCACTGTTCCTCCTCAATACATCCTCCAGCTCAGATCAAAGACGCAGAATATATTAGGTATGAAGGCATCAGACAGCTCAAGCAGATTAGAAAAAGCACACGCAAAGAAATGCATCCCAGCTTCTCTCTTGCGTCCTGCTGAAAATGGGCACAGTGCAAAGCATTTGCAACATAGAAACAGCAGACAGGGAAAAAAAAAGAAGAAAAAAAAAAAAGAGAGAGACTTTGGAAATTATGTAGTTTACCCAGAGCCTGCTACAAATTAGCTTTTCTAAGTATTTGCATTTTGTACTTTGTTCTTCCTTGCACTTAGGAACTTGTCATCTGATGGAGGACACCTGTGAGCGTCAGCAGAGATCACAGCATCAGCGCAGGCCTTGGTGGTGCTGGTCTCAGTGTTGAGCCTTGCCTGCAAACACACAATTAAAGGAACATGAAAGCACGTGGTCTGCCTCTTTCAAGTGTATGTGTTTCATTGTGTTCTTGGTGGTTTTATTCGATGGTCCATTTAGTGATATGAACAACTGAGAAAATGCCATACGGGTGAAATGCCAAAGCTTGGGGTCACCAGGTCAACATTGATTATCTTAATCACCCCTTCTCCCCCTGCAGTGTCTGAACACAGGTTTGGGCTAAGTCGGTTAAGTCTTTATTTCAGCAGTGTTTGATCTTGAAGTCTGCACAAATAATTATTCTTTTAAGATTCTGAACGTGGTTCCTGTTTTGTGGGGTTTTTTTCCAATAGAATTCTAAACTTTTAATGTGTGCCTTTTGATCCTTATTATTTAAGAACAAGAGCTGTGTCTGATTTGGGACAGCGGACGATGTGTTTGGATAATGAGAGCCCATTTTTGTGGGAGTGTTGGACGATCCAGTGTGATTTTTCAAGAAGCTGTTCCTCCAGTGAGTGCAAATAGCCAAATGGTGGACAAAAGGCTGCGTCAGTCTTACTCCAACTAAGTAACTTACTCCAATCATCAGTGCACCAG